CCCTCCCTCCCCTCCCTCTCCCCCCCCCCCCCCCCCCCCCACGCAGACCAAGTCATGTCGCCTTCGGCAGGCCGAAGTGGGCGACATGGAAGGGCTTGCGAGATTGTGGTAGTGGTAGCACAGTCACAGGGAGAGGATGGTGGTGGTGATGATGTTGGTGGTCGGCATGGGTATGGGTATGGGCATGGGCATGGGCATGATCATCACGGTCATCACGGTCATCACGGCCATCACGGTCATCACGGCCATCATGGTCATCACGGTCATCACGGTCACCATCAACACGGTCAACACGGTCAACACGGTCATCACGGTCACCATCAACACGGTCAACACGGTCATCACGGTCACCATCAACACGGTCAACACGGTCATCACGGTCACCATCAACACGGTCATCACGGTCATCACGGTCACCATCAACACGGTCACCACCATCATTGCGCTCAGAGTGATCACAGCCATCTCCAACGAGGACATCATCAACATGATGCTCATCACGGCCACTGCCCGCGACTATCTCTGCAGCGACGCCACACTACGCCGACCGCCCTGAGCAAGACCATGATACTGTCGATCATCATGCTGCTCGGGCTGGCCATGGCATTCAACGGACGGCTGGTGGCGGCAGCATCAGTTGCACCGCAGCTGCGGGTCTTTGGCCTCCACGTCGGCTCGCCGGCGGCACAGGCCGGTCTCGACGAAGCCGTCCAGCTTTGGAACGACGTCAAGAGCAACAGCTCGTCCACAGGCAGCATCGGGCCATGGCCATCGCCGGCGCCGCCTCCACCGCCAAACTCGGCCTCAGCGCCGTCGGCACTCATCTTTCCGCTCGCCGTCCCACCGCTCCCGCTCTATGCCTCGTGGCTCGGCTCGGCCGCACCACCAGACATCATCTCGGTCTACCCGCTCGGCCACGACGTTGACGACGAGACTCTCATCGCCGGCTCCGTCCTCCTCAATATCACGGGTGCATGGGTGGCGTCTGACCTCGCCGCCGACATCATTGGCCCTTTCACCAGCTTTGCCCTGCCGCTGACGGCGGGCTCGCACTCTGTCGCCATGCACACCCTCCCGCTTGCCGCCGAGGCCGGAGCTTGCATCTACTCCCGGCCCATCTTTGCCGCCCACTCGCTCTCGCCACCAAACACTCTAGACGAGCTCCTCGATCTCTGCGCCGCCCTTGTCCACTCCGGCACCCCGTGCCTCACCCACGTCTCACCGGACACTGTTCCACCCACAGACTACGTCGACTTTCTCGCCCTCCGCCTTCACGGCCCGGCCTTTTACGATGCCTTTGTCTCGGGCAACGTCTCGTTCACCACCGACTCGCGCCTCTCGGCCGTCTTTGACCAGCTCCTTGCCCTCATCGACGCCCAGGTCTTTGCTGCTCCGCGACCCGACGGGCGCCTTCCTTCCGCCGCCCTTCTCGGCACCTCACAGGCGGCCATCGTCTGCGGCGCCCATGCCGCGGCCGACATTGCCGCTGCCGCCGGCATCTCTCACCCCTCTCTCGGCGCCTTTCCCTTTCCCCGCGTCCACCCGACCGGCGCTGCACCGCCCTTTGCCAACTCGGCCCAGATCGGCGCCGTCGTCTCGCTCCTCGCCCCGGACCACACTCTCTTTCCGGACACCGTCATCGACCTGCTCTCCTTCCTGGGCTCGCACGACGCCGCCGCCCTCATCGCCGCCATGCCCGGCGCTGCCCTCCCTGCGCGCGCCTCAGTCGCTGCCGACGCCACGGCAGCGGCGTCGACCGCCGGCGACTCGCTCCGCTTCGACTTTTACAGCAACGTCCTCAGCGCCTCGAGCATTCTCCCGCGTTCGGCCACGCTCAGCGGCTATGATGCCGTCTACCTTGAGTGGGCGCAGCTGCTGCGCGAGGTGTACTCGGCCGCCACCTCGTCCGACGCACGGGCCGCCATCGACCGCGCCCGCCCCGCCCTCGAGGTCGTCCGCCTCGCCGCGGTGAGCAAGCTCACTGCGCCGCCGGAAATCTCCCCGGCCGCCGGCGAGTACTCGGCTCCAGTCGTGGTCAGCCTCACCTGTCCAACGCCCAACGCCATCATCCGCTACTCGCTCTCGTCCGACCTATCGCCGGACGACCCAGAGGCACCCATCTACATCAAGCCGTTTGAGCTCCATGAAGCCGGCATCCACGTGGTTTACGCCGTCGCATCGGCGCCGTCGCTCGCCAGCTCGGAGCTGGCTGTGCGGACGTTCAACGTTGTGAGCGTGCCAAGCCAGGCATCGGGCCCGCTCTCGACGGCGGTCATCGTTGTCGTCGCCGTTGTCGTCGTCCTCGTCGTGTGCGGCATTGTTGGCGGTTTGCTGGTGTTTGTAGTCTACCGGCGCCGCTTCCGCCGGACTGGCATTGACAGCAACGCACCGGTGGTCATCCGCGCCGACGAGCTTGCGCTCATCGACATCCTCGGCCGCGGCTCGTTTGGCACGTGCTACGTCGCGCAGTGGACCTCGTCGCGCGTCACCGTTCAGGACATCGACAAGCTCTGCCCCAAGGCTTCGCGGTCGGCGCTCAAGGCGCTCGTCGCCGACGTGATGACTCTCACGCCGATGAGGCATCCCAACATCAACACCGTGCTCGGGCTCTCGCTCTCGCCGCCAGCGCTTGTGGTCGAGACCGCAGACCGCGGCTCGCTCTCGGCCGTTGTCCACAACGCCGAGCTGGCCCTCGACGCCTCCATCGTCCTCCACTGGGTCTCGGGCATCACCTCGGGCCTGCACTTTCTGGCCCAGGCCCACGTGGCCCACGGCGACTTTAACGCCACTCGCGTCGTCCTCAACGCCTCGTGGTTGCCGCGCATCACAGACTTTGGCCTCCACAGCCTCAAGCCCGTGCCCGGCGAGCTCGTCACCAATCTCGCAGCCGGCTCGTCCTCGAGCTCGGGCACGGCCTCGGCTACCTCGGCCAACAACTCGACCGGCAACTCGGCGCTTTCGGCGTCAGACGAGCCTACCACCAGCGATCTCGAGGCCGGCCACGGCCCGTCACTAGCGGTCCCACTTGCCCACGCCGCCGCCCCGCGCGCCGCCGACGTCCGCCAGCAAGCCCGCAACAACTGGGCCGCAGGCTCAGAGGCCGGCCGGACCCAAGAGGCTGCCGCCGCGCTCTCGCTCTTTATGGCCCCACCGGAGATTCTTGAGCGCCGCGAGATCCATCCATCGTCGGCGACTGATGCCTACGCGCTCGGCATGGTCATGTGGGAGATGGCGACCCGCATGTTCGTCTTTCACGGCGAGTCGCCGCTCGCCATGATCAGCGAAGTCCTTGCCGGCTCGCGACCAGAGCTCGCGGCCGTGACCGACGAACTCGACGCGCTCCGCCCGGTCATGGCCGCTCTCTGGGCCGCGTCGCCAGCCGATCGGCTCACACTCGACGGCGCCGTCGCTCACCTGGCACGCATCGCCGCGGTCTCTGCCACAGACATTGTCTACCCATGCCCGGCGATCCAGCTCTTGCCCAAGCCGTCGACAACGCTCGTTCGCGTCGAGCTCCGCGAGGCCATCGAGTCGCTCGTCGACACCGCGCGAATCGCCACTTCGGTGCTGGAGGACTTTCATAACGCCATGCCACAGCTGGCGGCGCGGATCGGCGCGACGCTCGTCGAGTGGGACCTCGGAGTCATCCATCTTGCGCTCGATGACCTCACCGTTCTCCCCGCACTCATCCACGCCATCTCGGTACTCCAGACCGCGACCGGGCCCATCACCCTTCTTGCTTCCGCCGGCTCGCTTGAGCTCTGTACTGGCGGGCGCGGCATCTCGGGCACAGCTGTCGATGAGCTTAACGTTTGTTGGCGGGCCATGTTTACTTGCGCCAACCGGCTCTGCGACACCTGGCCACAGTACGGCGACGACGGCGGCGCCTTTGCCACCGCCGCAGTCTCGGCTGAGCTCGAACACCTCGTCCATGATGCCTCGCTCCGCTTCATGCCCATCGAGTACCCATCGAACCTCCTCGCCGTCGACGTGGTCCAGATCGTGCGCGAGGCCGAGGCGCCTGTCGAGCCACACATTGCCGGCACACCCAATGCTACCCGCTCGCGGCTCGAGGCATCGCGACTCTCCATCTCGCACTCGGTCTCAGAGCTACCCATGCGAGTGCTCGCTGGCGCAGAAGTCGCTGACCTCATCCGCGGCGCCACCTTTCGCCGCGTCGGCTCGTACGCCCGCGTGTACGAGGCTCAGCGGCCTACCGGCCCACGCGTCCTCATCAAGCTCCTCCTCCGCCAGCCTGCCACCCCGCTCGAGCTCCTCTACGTCGCCCACGAAGGCGCCGTCGCTGGCTTTGTCCGCCACCCCACTGTCGTTCGGCCCACCGCCATGTGTCTCGAGCGCCCGCTCGTCGCCTTTATCTACCCCATGCTTCCGGGCGGCTCGCTCGGCGACGTCTTTGCCGCCATCCGCACCGGCAAGCGCCGCCCGCTCACAGACCCCATCATCCAGCGTGTCGGTCAGAGCATCGTCCGCGCTCTCGGCAACCTCCATTCGGCTCTCGGCCGCGGCCATGGCTCGCTCACCCCTTCCAACATTGTCTTTGACACCCCCATCGAGTCCAAGAAGGCCACCGCCCGGCTGACCGACTACGGCCTCGACTATCTCCGATGTGCGCAGGGCGCAGAGACTCGCGTCCCGTGCCCATCGTACACCTCGCCAGAGGCCCTCGCCGGGGCTCCACCCTCGCCCGCCGCAGACATCTTTGTCCTCGGCTCCATCCTCTACGAGCTCGCCACCTCACGCATCGCCTTCCCAGGCTCAAACGTCCTCGACGTGTGTCACGCCATCCGCACTGGCACCCGACCTTCGGTCTCCGCCATTCCCTCGCTTGCCCTGGCAGAGCTCATCGACGAGTGTTGGGCAGCAGACGCCGACGTCCGTCCTTCCATCGAGGAGATCGCCTCGGAAATGGCCCGTCTCTGACTCTCGCCTCGGCCGAGACCCGTTGCTGCCACGTTGACCAATGTCGTCACACGCTGGCCACGCGGGTCGCACTGTGCCGCTCAACACCATCACCACCATGGCGAGCCACGGCAAGCCTGAGCGACTCGGAACTGGGTATTCCTTCCCGACCCACCCTAGGAAAGTACTACGCCACCCTCTGCACCCCGGTCATGACTGTACCCAGCTGATTCTTGCTCACCGGCACCTTTGGTGGCATGGGGCATGCGCGTGAGTGACGAACGCGTGTCTCGGCAGATGACTTCTTGCCAACAAAATTCCTGACCCGCACTGCTCCACCACCAGCCTCCACCACCATGCCCGTCCTGTCAAACACGTTCCACAGCCTGTCACCACCACCATGTCCCTCTTCTCTACCCCTCTCTACCCCTCATCACTCCCAACTGCCATCCCATACCTTGTCAACCTCACACTAGGGCGAAACACCGTGCGGGCTAGTGTGTTGCGGGCAAGCGCTTGTCACGAGATTGGCACGTGCTCAACTCGAAAAAAATAGTGAAAATCCCCGCTCTGGCCACCCGAGTTCTTTGCCAATATGTGTGACAACGACGTTCGCTTCGTACACCCCTCTCCCTCTGAACTGGGAACACATCCAGTTCACCCACCTCATCTCTGCATTGCTGCTAGAGCTGAAAGAAGAACGTACTACATAGTGAGTGTATCCACATTCTTGTGGCTTTGCTCATCGGTACCTCTCTCCACCACCAAGCCATCTTCCTTCCCATCTTCCTTGCCAACTCTGCTTGCAAATCCTCCCTACTCTTACCTTCGTTGACGTTGAAATTTTCCCGCAATGTCGGCAAAGTACGGATGTTGCCTCGCAGCCTTGGCTAGCATGGCCATGGTCATGCTCCTGTTGACCAATCCTGTCCTCTGTGCTACAAAGTCGGGCACGGCCTCTTCGATTGTTAACCGTGGATCCGCTGATGTGTCGTGGAGCGGAGACATGGTCATCTCTGGGGGAACGTCTTCTCAGTACAGAACCTCAAATCACCACATCGGTTACAACTTTGGCCTCTCTTCCATTCCTGCTGGCTCCATCATCGATGGCATCCAGGTCTCAATGTCGTACTCAGCATCCATCGACGATGCTACCGATGGCAGTATCAGGGCTGTTGACTTTACTCTCATGACCAGCTCGGGTACCATACTCGCTGGCTCGACGATCAAGTCGAAGACCACAACCCTCCGCTCGAGTCTCGGTACCTCATTTGGTACTCTCACCGTCGGATCGTCCTCGGATACCTGGGGCCTCTCCGGTGACATCCGCTCCAAGATTGTCGGCTCTTCCTTTGGCGTCGCCTTTCGCGTCAAGGGCTTTGTCTTCAAGATTGGCGAGACGCCATCGGGTACCTTCAGCGGCGGCTCGTCGACCCAGCCATTTTCGGTTGCCCAGCACCCGCAGAGCCCGCGTCCGGACCATCTTGCTCAGGATGAGGCTTCTGTCGAGTACAGCAACGATGGCGAGGAGAAGCAGGTGACCGCCACCGTCCGCGCGCCGCCGCCAGAGTGCTGCCCGACTTGGCAGGTGGCGGCGGCGGCCAGCGCCTTTTCCATCACCGTTACATACCACGCGGGCCAGTGCGCCGCATCAGGCGGCTACCCGACCACCAATGCCGGATCGACGGCCTACAGGGCGTGCCCGGCCGGCTACTCGGGCCAGTACTCGCGAGCCTGCTCGTCGACCGGTACCTGGGGCTCCGAGGTCAACGGGTGCAGCCTCATTACCAACTACTGCACCCTCCTCGGTGCGCCGTCCAACGGCAAGCTCTCGGCCTCGTGCTCTTCGAAGCGATCGATCGGCGAGGTCTGCGGGACCTTCTCCTGCAACGCAGGCTACACCCGTGGCGGATCGACTAGTCGCACCTGCCAGGCCGGCCCGTCGTGGTCCGGATCCACCCCGACATGCTCGCTCACCACCAATTACTGTCCGGAGCATCTGGCGCCGGCCAACGGTGCAATCTCCATCGGCTCTTGCTCTAGCCGCCGCTCCATCGGCGAGGTCTGCGGTACCTTCTCCTGCTCGGGTGGCTACGCGTTCTCGGGATCGTCGTCGCGGACGTGCTCGGCTGGTGCCGTGTGGTCTGGTTCGGCACCGGTCTGCTCGCTCATTACCGACTACTGCCCGCTCCTCGGTGCGCCGTCCAACGGCAAGCTCTCGGCCTCGTGCTCTTCGAAGCGATCGGTCAGCGAAGTCTGTGGGACGTTCTCTTGCAACGCTGGCTACTCTATGTCCGGATCTTCCAGCCGGACGTGCCAGTCGAACGCAGCCTGGTCCGGCTCCGCCGCCTCATGCGCCCTCATCGGCAACTACTGCCCAGAGCATCTGGCGCCGGCCAACGGTGCCATCTCCATCGGCTCTTGCTCGACCCGCCGCTCCATCGGCGAGGTCTGCGGTACCTTCTCCTGCTCGGGTGGCTACGCGTTCTCGGGATCGTCGTCACGGACGTGCTCGGCTGGTGCCGTGTGGTCTGGCTCGGCACCGGTCTGCTCGCTCATTACCGACTACTGCCCGCTCCTCGGCGCGCCGGCCAACGGCAAGCTCTCGGCCTCTTGCTCCACCAAGCGATCGGTCGGCGAGGTCTGCGGAACGTTCTCTTGCAACGCTGGCTACTCTATGGGCGGATCGTCGAGCCGCACCTGTTTGTCCAACGGTGCGTGGTCCGGCACTGCCGCCACCTGCACCCTCACCACCAACTACTGTCCGGAGCATCTGGCACCGGCCAACGGCGCCATCTCCATCGGCTCTTGCTCGACCCGCCGCTCACTCGGTGAGGTCTGCGGGACCTTCTCTTGCTCGGGCGGCTACGCGCTCTCGGGATCATCGTCACGGACGTGCTCGGCTGGCCAGACCTGGTCTGGCTCGGCACCGGTCTGCTCGCTCATTACCGACTACTGCCCGCTCCTCGGCGCGCCGGCCAACGGCAAGCTCTCGGCCTCTTGCTCCACCAAGCGATCGGTCGGCGAGGTTTGCGGTACCTTCTCCTGCAACGCCGGCTACGTGCTCGGCGGATCGGGTAGCCGGACGTGTCAGTCGAACGCAGCCTGGTCCGGCACCGCCGCCGTCTGCTCCATCGACAACAACTATTGTCCGGAGCACCTGGCCCCGACCAACGGCGCCATCTCGCCCGGCCCCGATTGTGCCGCCCAGCGCGCACTCGGCGAATCGTGCGGGACGTTTGTCTGCAACGGTGGCTACAGCCTCTCGGGCGCCACCTCGCGGACCTGCTCTTCCGGCCGCACCTGGTCGGGCACCGCGCCGGTCTGCTCGATCATCACCAACTACTGCCCGGCGCTGAGCGCGCCGGCCAACGGTAAGCTCTCGTCGGCCTGTGGCCGATCAGTCGGCACCTCGTGCGGGACCTTCTCTTGCAACGCCGGCTACATTATGGGCGGCTCGGCGAGCCGAAGCTGCCAGGCGAATGGCGCGTGGTCCGGCACCGCCGCTGTCTGCACCCTCAACAACAACTACTGCCCGGAGCATCTGGCGCCGGCCAACGGCGCGATCTCTCCCGGCGGGACCTGCAGCGCGCAGCGCGCACTCGGCGAGTCGTGCGGAACGTTTACCTGCAACGGTGGCTACAGCCTCTCGGGCGCCACCTCGCGGACCTGCTCGACTGGCGCCGTCTGGTCGGGCGCCGCGCCGGTCTGCTCGATCATTACCAACTACTGCCCGGCACTGAGCGCACCGGCCAACGGTAAGCTCTCGTCGGCCTGTGGCCGATCGGTCGGCACCTCGTGCGGAACCTTCTCCTGCAACGCGGGCTACATCATGTCGGGCGCGTCCTCGCGGAGCTGCCAGGCCAATGGCGCGTGGTCGGGCTCTGCCGCGTCGTGCACTCTGGACAACAGCTACTGCCCGCTGCTGAGCGCGCCGGCCAACGGCGTCATCTCACCAAGTGGCTCGTGTGCCTCGCTCCGGGCCATCAACAACCAGTGCGGTACCTTTACTTGCAACAGCGGCTACGCGCTCTCGGGATCAGCGAGCCGGACGTGCGCGTCGGGCGGTGTGTGGACCGGGACCAACGCGGGATGCGGGCTCATCGCCAACTACTGCCCTGCGCTCACCGCGCCGGCAAACGGCAAGGCGCCGGCGACGTACGCGCGTTCGATCGGCGCCACCGCGGCTTCGTACTCATGCAACGCTGGATACACCATGTCTGGTAGCGCGAGCCGGACGTGCGAGGCTGGTGGAAGCTGGTCGTCGACCGAGCCGACGTGCGCGGCCACGCCCAACTTTTGCCCGCCGGCGCCGGCGACGCCGGCCAACGCCGCGCCGGGCTCGTGCGTCCGTACTGTGGGCGGAGCGTGCTCGTTCTCGTGCCAGGCCGGCTACACGCCCTCGGGCGCCATGTCGGTCACCTGCTCCACGTCCGGGACTTGGTCTGGGACCCTCGGATCGTGCTCGCCCACGCCGAACTACTGCCCAGCGCTCACGGCACCGACCAACGGCAAGGCGCCACCGACGTACGACCGGACGATCGATAGCGCCGCCAGCCCGTACTCGTGTAACGCGGGGTACGACATCTCGGGCGCAACAAGCCGGACGTGCCAGGCTGGCGGGAGCTGGTCGTCGGCGGCGCCGACGTGCGTCGCCAACCCGACGTACTGCTCACCGCGCCTGGCGACGCCGGCAAACGGTGCGCCCGGCCCATGCGATACCTCCATCGGCGGCGCGTGCTCGTACACCTGCGATGAGGGCTACGTGGCGAACGGCGCGCTTTCAGTGACCTGCGAGGCTGGTCCGGCCTGGTCGAGTGCGATCGGCTCATGCGTACCCAAGACCAACTACTGCCCGGTGCTCACGGCACCGATCAACGGTAAGGTGCCTGTGGGCTACACTCGCAAGATCAACGACGTGGCCAACCCGTACACCTGTAACGCCGGCTACATCATCACCGCCGGTTCGGCGAGCCGGACCTGCCTTGCCGGCACGATGGCGGCGGGAACCTGGTCGGGCACCACGCCGACGTGCGAGCTCGATCCCAACCACTGTCCGTCGGCGCCGCCGCCGCCGCCCAACTTCTCCATCAGCTCGTGCTCGGCCCTCAACGGCGGCCTCTGCATCTACGAGTGCGACAACGGGTACACGTTGACCGGCAACGATCGGCTCACCTGCGGCGCCGACAAGAACTGGTCTGGCGTGCTCGGGAGCTGCAACCCCACCGCCGACTACTGTGCCGTCCTCCCTGCACCTACCAACGGCGCCCGCGGATCATGCCCGGGTACCATCACCTCATCCTGTGGACCGTTTACCTGTAACGCCGGCTACGAGCTGAGCGGATCGGCATCGCGGGTGTGCGAGGACAACGGGCCGGCGTCCGGCACCTGGACCGGCTCGACCTCGAGCTGCAACCTCATCACCAACTACTGCACGCTCCAGGCGGCTCCGGCTAACGGAGTGCTCGGCTCGTGCTCGCGCGCCATCAGCGGTTCATGTTCCTTCTCCTGCGCCAACGGCTACCAGGCGACCGGCACCACGTCGATCTCCTGCCAGGCCGGCCCGGCTTGGTCGGCCTCGTTTGGCAGCTGCGTCAAGATCGCGAACTACTGCACGCCCGACGAGGCACCGACCAACGGCAAGGCTGCGATCGGATGCTCGGGCGAGGTGAGCACGGCCTGTGGGCCCTACACCTGCAACGCCGGCTACACCGCGTCTGGCACTGCGACGCGGACGTGCGATCCGGCCACGCCTGTCACGGGCAGCTGGTCCGGCACGACCCTCGCTTGCACGCTCGACACGACGTACTGCCCGCTCCCTGCGGCACCGACCAACGGCGCCATTGGCTCGTGCACCCGGTCCATCGGCGGCGCTTGTGGCGCGAGCTGCAACAACGGATACTCGACGACGGGCGCGACGACGGCCACGTGCGGCTCGGGCTCGATCTGGTCGGCCGTGTTTGGCGACTGCACGGCTGACGCCGGCTACTGCGCCGTCCTCACGCCGCCGACCAACGGCGCCTTCACCGGGCCGTGCACCGGCAAGATTGGCACTGTCTGCGGTCCGGTCACCTGTGACGCCGGCTACAACCTCGGTGGATCGGCGGCGCGGAACTGCGAGGACGGCGGCGCGGTCGCCGGCACCTGGTCCGGCTCGACGACGACGTGCAGCCTCGAGCCCAACTACTGCCCTGCGGTGACTGCGCCCGCCAACGCGGTGCTCGGCCCGTGCACGCGCTCGATCGGCGGGACGTGCTCGGCGAGCTGCAACAACGGGTACTCGACGGCCGGCGCCACATCGGCGACGTGTCATGCTGGGCCCAACTGGTCGGCTCCACTCGCCGACTGCGCCAAGACATCCGGCTACTGCGCGCCGCTTTCGGCTCCGGTCAACGGTATCCTTACTGGCGACTGCACCGGCAAGATCGGGACGAGCTGCGGCCCGGCGAGCTGCAACGCCGGGTACAACCTGGTGGGCACGGCGACGCGGTCGTGCTCGGACAACGGCATGGCGTCCGGGACCTGGACCGGCGCCGCCTGGTCGTGCGTCCTCGACGACGCGTACTGCCCGACTCCCGACGCGCCGGCCAACGGAACACTCGGCACGTGCGATGAGCACATCGGCGGGACGTGCTCGGCGAGCTGCGCCAACGGGTTCTCGACGGCCGGCGCGTCGTCGATCACCTGCAACGCCGGGCCCAACTGGTCGGACATCCTCGGCGCGTGCACCATCACTGATGGCTACTGCACCCCGCTCCCGCCGCCAACCAACGGCGTCATCGGATCGTGCTCGGGCCATATCGGGTCGGCGTGCGGACCGGCTAGCTGCAACGCCGGCTACGATCTGGCGGGCTCGGCCACCCGCAGCTGCGTCGACAACGGCGTGGCGTCCGGGAGCTGGACGGGGACGCCGGCGACGTGCACCATCAACCCGAGCTACTGCCCGATGCCTGCGGCGCCGGCCAATGGGGCGCTCGGGACATGCGACCGCCACATCGGTGGGATGTGCTCGGCGAGCTGTGCCAACGGGTACGCCGCCGCCGGCGCGTCGTCGATCACCTGCAACGCCGGGCCCAACTGGTCGGACATCCTTGGCGCGTGCGCCATTGCTGACGGTTACTGCGCCCAGCTGCCTGCGCCTGAGAACGGCGTCATCGGCACGTGCTCGGGCCAGATCGGTTCGGCCTGCGGACCGGCAAGCTGCAACGCCGGCTACAACATTGCCGGCTCAGCTACTCGGAGCTGTGTCGACAACGGTCCGGTGTCTGGGACGTGGACCGGTGCGCCTGCGCTCTGCACCCGCGAGCCGAACTACTGCCCGATGCCTGCGGCGCCAGCCAACGGTGCTCTCGGCGACTGCGACCGGTTCATCGGCGGCAACTGTAGCGCGAGCTGCGCCGACGGCTACTCGTCGGCCGGAGCAGCGACCATCACCTGCGGCGCCGGCCCCGAGTGGTCGGACATTCTCGGCGTGTGCGCCATCACCGATGGCTACTGCGCGCCGCTGCCTGCACCTGAAAACGGGCGCGCGGCGGTCGGATGCAGCGGCCAGCTGGGCGAGGCGTGCGGACCGGCGACGTGCAACGCCGGCTACAACCTGTTTGGCGACGCAACGCGGAGCTGCGTGTCCAACGGGCCGGCTGCCGGGACGTGGACCGGGGCGCCGGCGACATGCTCGCGCGAGCCGTTCTACTGCCCGGTGCCTGCGGCGCCGGCCAACGCGGCCATCGGCGACTGCGACCGGTTCATCGGCGGCAACTGCAGCGTGGCATGCGACAACGGGTACACCGAGGGTACGACGTCGACGGTGACCTGCATGGCCGGGCCTGGCTGGTCCGAGCCGCTCTCGCAATGCGTCACCTATGCTGGGTACTGCACGCCGCTGGCGGCGCCGTCAAACGGCGTCATCGCGAGCTGCACCGGCGCCATCGGGACGAGCTGTGGGCCGGCGAGCTGCAACGCTGGCTACTCGCTGAGTGGGACGGCTACGCGGACTTGCGTGGCGGACACGAGCTCGACCGGTGGATGGACCGGGCTTGAGGCGAGCTGCACCAAGGATGCGGCATACTGCGCCATCCCCGATGCGCCGGCCAACTCTGTGCTTGGGGCGTGCGATCTCTCGATTGACGGCAGCTGCACCTTCCTCTGCGGCAGCGGATATGAGGCCGTGGGCGTGACGTCCATCACGTGCGGCGCCGGGCCTGCGTGGTCGGCGTCGTTTGGCGAGTGTGTGCGGACGGTGGGCTACTGCCCGACGCACGCCGCCCTGAGCAACGGGATCAACCCGGAGTGCAACGGGACGGTGGGCGAGGTATGCGGGCCGTTTACCTGCGACGAGGGCTACGAGATCCTCGGATCTGTGGCGCGAACGTGCGAGGTGAACACGCCGATGGCCGGGCTGTGGAGCGGTCCGCGGCCGCAGTGCGGGCTCGATCCCAACTATTGCTTTGACTCGCGGGTGCCGGCGCCTGGCAACGGGACACGGGCGCTGTGCGACTCGAAGCTCGGCGGCTTCTGCATCTACTCTTGCGACGCCGGGTACGAGCTGGTGGGCTCTGCGGTGCTTATCTGTGGCATCGGCCCTTCGTGGACCGGCACGCCGCCGGTCTGTCAGCCGGTCCTCGACTACTGCCCGCCGGTGACATCGATTCCGTTTGGGACGGCGCCGACGTGCACCAACCGCATCGGCGAGCAGTGCGGACCGTTCTCGTGCGATGGCGAGTACCTGCTGTTTGGCTCGGAGACGCTGACCTGTGGCGACGATGGCGAGTGGGAGGAGGGCGTGCCGTTCTGCTCGTCAACGTCGACGGACAACTCGCTGGTCTTCTCGCCGCCGGCGGTGACGATCTCGGCCGACGGCCCGGCTGGGCGCTCTCTGTCCAGCCGCGGTCGCTGACCAACGACACGCTGATCATCTCCAAGGACGTGGTTGCGGTTCTCCGCGACGGGACGCCGATCTCGATCACTGCGCGGTCGCAGTCGTCTCCGGCGACGTGGAACGCGGCGACGCGGGCGTTTGACACCGAGCTGACGGTGCGGACGGCAGGGACGTACAAGTACCACGTGGTGCTCAATGGCGACGCTATTGGCACATCGCCGTACGATGTGACGGTTGTGGCTGGTGCGCCGGCGGCGACGACATCGACTGCGTCGGGCGTGGCGCTTGGAGTTGTCTCGAGCGATGACGAGCTGTTTGCGCAGGACGAGGTGGTTCAGTTTGCCATCGCGCCGCGCGACGCGTGGGGCAACGCTGTGCCTGTTGCGCCGTCGCCGCCGACGACGCCGTTCACGGCTGCGCTCAAGGGCGAACTTGTGGGCACGATTCCGGTGGAGTACGTGGCATCGGCGTCCGGGCCGGAGACCGGGTACGTGTTTGAGTACTCTGTGCCGACAGGCGGCCTGCTCACGCTCTCTGTGACGCTTGATCAGGTGCCGCTGGCGGACTCGCCGTGGCTGGTTCAGGTGGCGGCGGTTTGCCCTCCAGGCGAGCGGCGGGTTCGGATCACGGGCCCGTGCGTGGCATGCTCGGCGAACACGTTCTCTGATGCAGCGGGCGAGGAGTGCGTGGCGTGTCCCGCCGACATGAGCTCGCCGGCGCGTTCGGCGACAGCGTTCAACTGCACATGCCTGCCCGACTTTTACACCTCGCCGCGTGCGCCGATCACGCCCGAGGGCGTGCCGGCGTGTGCGGCGTGCCCTGTGGGTGCGATCTGCCGCGGCGGCAATGACCCGCCGTTCCCGCGGCCGGGCTACTTTAGCGACGGCGAGGCGTTTGTCTCGTGCCCGCGGCCGGCGGCATGCCTGGGCTCGGGCGCGTGCGCGACGGGCTACCAGGGCACGTCGTGCTCCGAGTGCCAGAAGGGCTTCTACCGCATGGGCGAGCGGTGCTTCCCCTGTGACCGGACCAAGGCGCTGGCCATCGCGCTCTCTGCGGTGGTTGTCCTCCTCTGCTTTGTGTGCGTGCTTGTGTACCTCAACTCGCGCGAGACGCACAACCGGATGTACACGGCTGCGGCGTTCATGATCGGTTTCAACTCGCTCCAGATCTCTGCGCTGTACGGTGACATCAACCTCAAGTGGCATCCGATTGCGCGGACGTTCTTTGACATTCTCTCTGTGGCCAACCTCAACATCGAGATTACGTCGCCCGAGTGCTCGTTTGACATGGGCGATCCGTGGCTTGTCAAGTGGGTGCTCATGCTCTTGCTGCCGGTCTTTATGCTTGTCCTCCTGGGCGTGGCATGGGCGCTCGGCACGCTCTACCGGGTTGTGGTGAGCTCGTGCGGCGAGGGATGGGCGGCGCGTCATCCCAAGTGGATTGCGCACGCAGGCGCCGAGTCCGAGCTCGACGACGGCAAGATCTCGCGCGGGCGTGCGGTCAAGTACCGCTGCGGGCGGCTGTTCTCTGAGTCGCTGCTCACGGCTGTGGCGCTTCGGCAGGCTGTGGTCCGCACCTTTTCCCAGCTCTTCATTTTCTGCTACCTTCCGCTCACTTTTGTGGTCCTCCGGTACTTTGAGTGCGAGCCTGTTGGTGCCGGATCGTCGACGTACGTGATGGCGTCCGAGCCGGCGATCGAGTGCTACACGGCACGCTACTGGCAGCTCTTCTACGTGGCAGCGGTGTTTGGCCTGCTGTATGCGCTGGGCATTCCGGCGGCAACCTTTGCGCTGCTGCGGGCCAAGTCGCGGTCGCTCGACGCGTTCTCGTTCCATCTCAAGTACGGCTTCCTGGTGGCGCGGTTCAACGAAGAGAGCTACTTTTTCGAGGTGGCGATCATGGCGCGCAAGCTGTGCGTTGTCCTCGCGCTGGTCATCTTCCAGGAAGCACAGCACGAGGCGCTTGTGGCGGCGCTTGTCCTCGTCATGGCCTTTGGCCACGTCTCGTATGCCATGCCGTACATCTCGCCCTTCCACAACAAGCTCTCCATGGCGGCGATCTTCACCTCGTGCGTGGTGCTCCTCGGCGGGACGGCCAACTCAGGCTCGATCCGCGACCCGCTGGTGCTCGGTGCGCTCTGCGCCAACATCCTCGTTCTCATCTACGGTGTACTCCACGAGATCAAGTCGCTCGCGCAGCGCGAGGCCGACGACATGGTCGACATCCTTGAGGCCGACTCGGAGTTTGTGGCGGCGACGGAGATGCTCACGCCCGGCGAGATGCACTCGATGTTCGACACACAGGAGCCGATGATGTTCAACGCTGGCCTGCCGGAGCACAACTCAGGCGAGGTGACGACGTTTGCCAACCCGTCGTTTGGTGGCGAGGCGAGCGTCAACGGAGCAAGCCGTCCCGTCGGCCCGCCGCCACCGCCGCTTGGCGTTATGGGCTCGTTTGACGGCGGCTCGTTCCAGGCCATGGGCTCGTTCCAGGCCTTTGAGTCGTTTGGCAACTCGGGATCGTTTGCCGCACCGCCGCCGCTGCCGCAGGGCATGGGCGGCTCGAACTCGTCGACGCTCGGCGAGTCGGACGGTGGCTTCTCATCCGAGGGCGCCGACGTCTCTGCCCCGCTCCCGCCGCTACCGGCGATGCCGTCGTCGGCCGCAGGCGCGGCCCTCCCGCCGCCGCCGCTCTCAGTGACGGCGTCATCGGCGATGCCGTTCCCGTCGTCGCTCGCTGCGCCGCCGCTGCCGCCGTTGCCGACGTCACCGCCGCCGCAGCGGATGTGAGTAACATGAGTTGCGATTTTGGACGTAGGCCCCCCCCCCCCCCCCCCCCCCCCCCCGCGCGCGCGTGTGTGTGTGTGTGTGTGTGTGTGTGTGTGTGTGTGGTCTTGTCGGCGTTGGCGAACGGAACGGCATGGAAAGCAGTCGCATCGATGTATGGGTCGGCAAGGGAGATGGTGATGATGTTGTCGCAGCTGGGTCTGGATGCCCATCAGATACTCTTGTTGTTGTCGGTAGACGGATCGACCGAAGACGTCGCGCACCTGTTCGACCAGCGGCCAGGGCGAGGGAGCGATCGGCCAGTCGTATGCAAGTTGAGATGGCGATGGAAGGCGGGGATGGCGTGGTGCCTGTGGGCGACGGTGTCGCGGGGAGAAGCCGCGGAAGCGGGCCGATGGCAGCAACGACGGGCAGGCTGACCTTCCCGCTGGAGCGGAGTGTGCTGGGCAACAGCGGCGGGCTGGATGGCCACGTTTCGTGGTTCCGCTACCACCGGCTGTTCACCCGGCCAGACCATCCGGGCTTCTACGTCCTGCAGGCCGAGACCGGGCGCGGCCTGTTTGCAGCGCGGAGCATGAGCTCGGCCATGCTGAGCCTACCTGGGCCTGATCGCGACGACGACAGCGGGGGATCGCCGCGGCCTGCGCGGTCTGGACGATCGGCGTCGCCGAGAAGCGGCGGGAGCGGCGGGAGCGGGAGCGGCGGGCTCGTCGCCTTTCTGTCGCGGCGCGAGATGGAGGCGGTGCTCGAGGCTGGCGGGCCGATGGTGCTCGGCGGGTACACGCGGGTGGTGGAGAGCGAGTGGCGCGGGTGCGACGTGCCGCGAACGCCACAGCAGCTGCTGCAGGTGGCGGTGTGCATGGCGTCGGCGGTGAGCGTGGGCATCGAGTGCCTGTCGATCGTCTCACCGCTGGTGCTCTGCCTCGAGTCGCCGCATGTGGCGCTCATCTACCCGCGGATCAGCGGCGAGTCGTTGGAGGAGCTCCTCGCCGAGGCCTTTCTTGTCGGGCGGCCTCACGATCGGTCGTCGCAGCGACGGCAGAAGCGGCTGCCGCGGGGCGGCGGAGTGAGCGGCGTCGGCGGGTTGGCCGGGCTCGACGAGCTGAGCTCGGGCTCGGGCCTCGATCACGTACGGGCTCTGAGCATCGGACTGGCGCTGGCGCGTGCGCTCGCCGAGGTCCACTCGATCACGGGCGGCGGGCACGGCTCGCTCAAGCCATCCAACGTGGTGGTGGACCACAAGAGCGGACGGATGGTCACAACTGCGCTGACAACCATCATGGACTTTGAATCTCAAGGTCACCTCGGCTTTGTTGACTCGATCGAGGATGCGCTCGAGACGCTTCCGGAGAGCCCGGCCGTTACCTTCTCCAACAGCGTCTACGGCGTTTGGCGCGGTAGCGATCAGACGGCCGACGTCGTTGTGGCTGCGGTGGTGTACAAGCGCCGCGACCTTGTGGCGATCAAGGTTGGTGGCTGCCCAAACGACAAGAACATCACTAGCAAGGCGTTGATTGCCATCGGCGGGTCGTGCACCTTGCTCAAGTTGGTGGATGCATCGAGAACCGCGGCCGTGGCCGACCAGTGGCCAGGGTGAGGGAGCGATCGGCCAGTCGTATGCAAGTTGAGATGGCGATGGAAGGCGGGCATCAGCTTTGTTGAGTGCACAGTGGGGGTTCATGGCAGCCAGCTCACCGACGAGGGATCTGCGGTCGTCCGACTCGGGGGAGGTGAGGCCCATGGGATCGGGATCGTTTGTGGTTGGCTTTTTAGCGTCGGCCTTGGGGGCGTCGGATAGGTGGCTGAGAAGGCGATGGGAGGCCGATGCGAGGGTGAGGTGGTAGATCGGGCTGGAGAGGATGTCCAGCATACGCGTGTGTGCGTGGGCCGTGTGCTCGTTTGCTGGGAGGAGGCGCGGCATGTGTGGCTCGGGTGTGACGATGGGAGAGGGGATGGCTGGTGTCCGACTGAGGCATGGATGTGCTCAGAGGGTGCACGATCTGGCGACGACGAGTCTGTGGAGGGGTGATGGCATGTGCTCGCTGTCGTCGAGCAACCGGATGTCCCATTCGTCTGGGCGGAGCAGGGCAGGTCTTTGTTGCGTCCGCTGTTAGCTTGATGGCGAGCTGGAACCGCAGCGCGCTCTTGAGGAAGGACGACGACGTTGCATCGACCGCCAGGGCGGTGATGCCCAGGCTGCTGCACGGCTGTGGTGGACGGAGCGTGGTCGGCTTGCTTGTTGTTTGCCCAGCCCATGAACGGCGTGGCAGTCGTCATGCCAGCGGTAACGTCGGCGAGGAGGACGATGGCGTTGATGTCAGCAGCACTCGGCTGCGAGCGAGGGTGCGGTTGGCATGTGCAACGCCTCGATGGCAGAGATCAGATTGCGGCTGCGCGGCGTGAGTCAGGGTGCGTGTGCGGGCGGCGGCGATGAGGACAACGAGCGAGGGACATGGGTGGGGTTGGCAAGGTACGTCGTTGTCAGGTAGAGGTAGCACGACGCCCAGCAAAGAAGAGCTGGCCGGCTGACCTCGCTTGATCGAGGACGGTAAGGAGGACTGGCCGAGGCGGTGGGGAGCTGCGGGGGAGATCGGGATAAAGGAGGACAGAGTGTTGATGCGCGATGAGGGGTGATTGGATTGCAGAGGACGGTAGGGGTGGGCATGGATGGTTGAGCAGCAGCAGGTGATGGGGTTGATGGGATGGATGGTCGGGCGTGGTGGTTGCAGGAGAGCGAAAACGGTTGTGTGGCGGAAGTTCGAGGCATAGTTGTGCTCGGCGCATGTATTTGGGTCTCATCTTCAGCAGCTGGAGGGCGCAGGCAGCGCCACCTGGCAAAGTGTGGATGGCAGGCATTTCGCGGACG